CAAGGAGGAGGAAGAACGAAGGAGGAGGAGGAAATAAAAAGGACGAATCAGGGGGAGGAGGAAGAAGAGGAGGAGGAGGAGGAGTAGGAGGAGGAAGAGGAGGAGGACGAGGAGAAAGAAGGGGAGGGGCCCGTGCGCGCGCCCTCCACCAGGCGCGCCCTCCACCAGGCGCGCGGCCGAGAGAGCTGGAGGTCGAGGGCGGGCTCCTCCTCCGGGGCTTGGCCAGCGGGAGCGCCTCCCGCCCGTCCGCGCGCGCGGGGGCAGGCTGGCAAGCAGCTGGGGCTCCCCATGAGGATCGAAGACCTCCATGTAGAACAGGTCTCCAGACTGGAAGGAAGCCCGGTTGGCACGTTTACACATCACCTCTCGGACACTCGAACTCGGAAGATCCGAAACCCACGCTGCATTCGGGGGGAGGGGGAGCTCAAACCATGTGTTGCGCGTGAGTGTTGATTAATTGTTTCCGACACCTGGAAGCCTCCAGAGTGGAGGGCGAACCTCCATTCTGAAGGTTTTTGATCCTCCGGATCGCGGGCTCGCCCTCCCTTCCTGCCGACCACGACGAGGACGACGTCGTCGATGCCGACGATGCCAACATCATCATCGTGGTGGCAGTGGTCGTCCTGGTCGTCGCTGTCCGAGGTCTCAGAGGCAGAGGTTTCGGCATGCGATTTTCGAAGGTGATTCCCTTGATTCTGGGCGCTTTCTTCTCTGCATCGGACGCCACGGGCACGCTTTACAGCCTCCAGGTCAAGCCTTAGTGTCCTCCGAATAAACATCTCCTCTGCCTACTCCTCCTACTCCTCCTCCTCCTCCTCCTCCTCCTCCTCCTCCTCCTCCTCGGGATCGTCCTCCTCCTCCTCCTCCTCATCCTCCTCCTCCTCCTCCTCCCCCTCCTCCCCCTCCTCCTCCTCCTCCTCCTCCTCCGATTTGATATGCACACTAAGTACGAAAAAAAAGTTGTGTGTCATCGTTGTCGTTCCTGCTCTCTTGCTACCCCTCTTCGCCATGCTTATCCTTCTCCTCCTCCTCCTCCTCCTCCTCCTCCTCCTCCGCCTCCTCCTCCTCCTCCTCCTCCTCCTCCTCCTCTCCTCCTCCTCCTCCTCCTCTCCTCCTCCTCCTCCTCCTCTCCTCCTCCTCCTCCTCCCTCCTCTCCTCCTCCTCCTCCTCCTCATCCTACTCCACCTCCTCCTCATCCTCCCCTCCTCCTCCTCCTCCTCCTCCTCCTCCTCCTCCTCCTCCTCCTCCTTCTCCTACTTCTCCTCCTCGCGTTCCTATTGCTCCTCCTCCTCCTCAACTCCTCCTCAAATCCTTCTCACGTTCTTCTCCCTCTCATCCTCATCCAGTCCTCACCCTCCTCTCTCGTTGTCTCTCTCCTCCCTCCCACGAACCCTGACATCAGCTCGTGCCGTCCAGTTGCGCCTTTCTGCCCTAATCATCATGGTCATCAGCATCCCCATCATCATCACCAGCAGCATCATCATCAGCATAATCAGCATCATCATCAACAGCATCGTCATCAGCATCGCGGTCATCATCATCATCATCATCATCATCATCATCATCATCATCATCATCATCATCATCATCAGCAGCAGCAGCAGCAGCATCATCATCATCATCATCATCATCATCATCATCATCAGTAGCAGCAGCAGCAGCAGCAGCAGAATCATCATAAACATCAGCATTATCAAAATCATCAACATCATCATCATCATCAGCAGCAGCATCATCATCATCAGTATCGTCATCATCATCATCATCATCATCATCATCATCATCATCATCATCATCATCATCATCATCATCGTCATCATCATCTTCTTCAGCATCAGTATCATCATCATAATCATCATGCTAACCACCACCGTTACCATCGAAATCATCACAAGCACCCGCACCGTAATCAGTACAACCGTCCTTCTTATCATCACCATCCCTGATATAGTCGTCGCTGCAAACACAATCAGTATACTCCTCCTCCTCCTCCGCCTCCTCCTCATCCTCCCCTCCTCCTCATCCTCCTCATCATCAGCAGCATCATCATCGTCGTTATCATCGTCGTCGCTTGCCTCCTCCTCCTCCTCATCCTCCTCCTCCTCCGCCTCCTCCTCCTCCTCCCTCTCCCCCTCGATCTCCTGTCTCATCATACATCCCCAGCCCGAAAGCTTTCCTTGTCCATGAAAACCCTGGATCCCGCTGTACTCCATTACGCGTGTACAAGAATCACATGGATCCAATGCATATATCTTCCGGGACACATGCGTTTGGCGTAGAAGTTTGGTGGATCTCATTCCGACCCGGCAATAGACCAATACTGGGATTGAAGAAACGTGGGCCCACAAGAAGTGAGACCCACGGGTCCGTGGATCTGCAGACCAATGCGATGGTTCTCCGCGAAAGAGGGCTGCCTTAACCTACAAGCTGACGCATAAGGGCTACCTTATCCTACAAGCTGACGCATGAAGAAGATGAATCGTGAAAAACGGAATAATAAGAAAAAATAAAAAGTAAAAAACATATAAGAAGAAGAAGAAGAAGAAGAAGACGCGGATGAGGAGATGATCAAGAGGAGGAGGAGGCTCATGACACGGATGAGGAAGGAGGTGCATACGAAAACGAAGATGAGGAGGAGGAGGACGACGATAGCAAAGATGACGAAGAGGAGCAGGACACAGAAGAGGAGGGGGAAATAGCATTTGGAGGACGAAGAAACAGAGAGCAGGAGGACACGCGTGGCGTCACCGCTCACCTCAACAACCCCTCCCATAACAGATGGTAGCTCGAACACCGCAGCGGGCCAGACCCACTCCCGCAGCCCCTCAGATAACATATGGATGCTCGAACGCCGAAGCAGCCCTGCCAATACACTGGCTCGCATGCACAATCTGGGGCTCAAGGCAAAGATCGTTCGACCTGAGTGAGTATTTGTCATCATCCTCACAGTCCTCGAACCCAGAGGTCCACACCACAGATCTGTTCAGTTCAGCTCCTCCTTATCCTCCTCCCACCTCCTTCCTCCTCCTCCTCGTCCTCCTCCTCCTCCTCCTCCTGCTCCTCCTCCTGCTCCTGCTCCTCCTCCTGCTCCTCCCTCCTCCTCCTCCCTCCTCCTCCTCTCCGAATTCTTATGTTCATGTCATGCTTTGTTCCCCAACCCACACCCTCCGATGATCCTCAGAACGCGTGTCATCGCCACCGCGCGTTGCTCCATCATGCCCTTCAATACGACGAGAGTGTTTGCAACGACGGCCGACGCAGGCCGAACGGGAAAACACACACACGCACACACACACACACACACACACACACACACACGCGCGCGCGCACATTGGGCGAACAAGGTGCAAGTTCTTGAAGTGCGAGGCGAGCATGAGAGTGAGGCCGCACATGAGCCGTGGGGACGCCTGGCAAGGATGAGGGAACGAACAGCGCCGTCAATCAACTGGACACAGATCCGACTGTGAGCGTCCCCCATAGGAACCCACTCGGGAAGCACACTGGACTTACGCACGTCCTGAGGACCATCGATTGGCGGCGCGCACTTAGAGGGGCATGAGGGAGGGGTGGAGGCTCCTTAGAAAGAGGGTGCTTCTTAGAGGGCGCCGGCCCTACATTTACAGAGAAGGCCCGCGTCTTCTAAGAATCGGGGATGGACAGACCCCCCTTTCGCAAAACGTGGTTTAGTGAAAACGACCTGAGGCCCAAACCTGGCAGGCGCCAGCCTGGAAAAGAACGGCCACGGCGCCCTCTCGAAAACCGAACACGTACAATTCACTCATCGGCGTGTCACCGTTGGGGGTCCTGTCCACCCCCGAAAGAAGCAGGAGTGCTTCCAAGAAGCCTTTCCCCCCTCCCCCTACCCCTCCTCTGCGCGTGGCTGCATTCCGCCGTTGGGGACACGGGCCCTGGGGGAGGAAGGCCCTGGGCCCCCCCCGGGCCTTCCCCCGGGAGGAGCTCTGCGTCCTGAGCCGTTCTCTGATCGTCTCGGGGCCCGTGGAGGGCCCCAAAAGGCCCGGAAAAGAAAGAAAAAAACCTCAGATCACCGTCTCCCTCATAGGGGGCCACATGCGAACCCTACCCCTACCCCCCTCAGAAGTCGTGGGGGGTAGGGGTAGGGCTCGCATGTGGCCCCCCTACCTCAGGACCCGCTCCCCCCCCCAATGGCCACGAATCGAGCCCTGGAGCCCTGCGGGGGCGCAGCTGGCCAGCCACACGGCGCCAGAGGCAGCGCGCGGTGCCAGCCCCTCGGGCGAGCAGCCGGTGGACTTCCGCGGGCAGGGCTGCGATCTCTGGCGCGCGACCGCTCCGGTGCCCGGGGGCTCCGCGGGTGGATCCGGGACGCCAGGGAGCCTCGGGCGGGAGGAGGAGGACCCTCGACAGCAGAGATCCAGCGCTCCAAAACGATTGGGGCGGCGGGTTCTTGGCGACTGTCGGCCAGGCCTCGGGGCCGTCAGAAAACGACTCAGGACGAAAAACCGGCCCTGGGGAAGAGATCCAGACCTCTAGGGCCCACGCATCGAAAAAACTGGGGCAGCTGGATGCCTAGGGTACCAGGGGAGCGTTTGTCAGGCAGCGGCCACAGGAGAGTCCGACGGCGGTCGAGCGGCGGCGGGGCGCGAAGGTGCACGGCAGGGCACGAGGGGAAGAGGGCGCGACGAGACGCGAGGGGGTCGGAGAGGCCGAATGCGAGGGCAACGAGCAATGGCATAGACAGAAAGACTCAGAGCTCCACGCGGAATTCTCGGACCGGCTCCGGACACCCTGGGGCGGCGCTGGAGGCGCCGCCCGAGGGGGCCCCAGCGCCGGCCTGAGGAGCACGCGCGGACCTCAGAGTTTTTACGCTGATGTCATGGCTGATGCCCCGAAACACGGTGAGGGCACTGGCCAAGAAACAATGAAGACCAGTGGAACACCAGGCGAGGCTTGGCCATGGACATCACCGCCACCCTCATCAAATAAGAAAAGAACTCGTTCAGGGTACATTTCTCAACGAACACCCCCAGCGTGCCCGGGCGTCGTGACAGACACAGGAAGAGGTGGAGAAATCCTGTCGCCCTTTTGCTCACGGCGCCGTGAGATTGTCTCACGACGTCGGGAGCCGGGCGAGCCAGGGCCAGAGCCAAAGCCGGAGCCGGAGCAGGAGCCGGAGCGGCGCGACAGCTCTGCGGCGCGAGACCCAGGCTGGCCCCGGGCCCAAGATCGGCCCGCCCCTGCGGGGTCGGGGGCCCGGACGCCCGCATGCGTCGACCCCTTCTGGCCGCCCTCTCGGCGGCCTGCGCTGCCAGCAGTCTCTCCATCGCACTTATGGCCTGGCTGCGGTCTCCGCTGCACCGATCCTTCTCGCCCTCGCACCGCGCATCTCTCCCAAGCCAGCGGTCCGAAGGTTGGTGCCGACAGGGAGCGTCTGGGGAGGCAGCTCGAGGCCATGAGCGCGGATGGTGTGGCAGGCGTGCGCGAGAGCCTCTGCAGATTGGGTGGCCCCAACAGGGCGGAGCGGCGAGCGGTGAGGGGGCGGGAAGACTGTTTTCTCCCTCGAGCGCGCGGGGAGCGCGCCCTCGAAGGATGCATCCCGGCTGCAGAAGTCGGCCCAGCCCACCCACGGCGGGCGAGAGCCTCCACGGCCGGGACACCGGCGGCCCCTGGACTACTGGGAGGGGCGCGCGGCAGAGGCCAGCTGTCAGTTTCGCTTCGAGCTCTTGGCCTTCGCCGCCTCCTCCTTCTTCCGCGAGTAGACGTACTTGGCGCAGCACCAGCAGCACAGTCCGATCTGCTGGCACTGCAGGAGCATCAAGCCTGGACCAACACAGTTCCACCAGAGCCACTGCGAGATGTCAGCGGCTGCGTATTTCCTCTCCAACGGCAGTTGCTGCCTGTCGTATTCCTCTAAGGCGGCGGCGACTCTCTCGGGGGGGAGACGAAGCCCATGGCCAGACGTACAGGGATCGCGTGCCGCACGCCTTCGATGAGGAACCCAGGATCTCGTGGCGGGTAGCTGCACAACGGCGGAGCACTATGAGTGATCCCTACGTGCTTCGCGAAATCAAGCATGACCCGAGCTCGCAGCACCTGGCTGATCATACTAGCACCCCCGATTATACCATAAAGGAGCGCCATCTGATCACGGATCCAATTACTCACCGCACCCACACGGCAGCATTTGGGCTGACAAACACTGGATGATGACTAGTAGACGAAATAGCTGGTAGAAAATCGGCGTTGGGTCGGTCAAGGGTCAGCCCCGTTGCCCCAGTGAATTGCTCAATACTCGTCCACAACGATTCGCCTCCGTACCATGACGTACAGAGGCTAACCTTTGCGCGCGCAAGAAAGCACACCTGGGGCCCTTGGGCAACGGCCCCTTGCTTCTAGCGTGCTGTCGGTCCACCCTTGTTGTCGAGCCCAGCATCAGAGACCAGGAGAAAAAGAGAGAGAGAGAGAGAGAGAAAGAAAAAAGGAGAGAGGAAGAGAGGAAGATATGGAGAGAGGGGAGGAGGAGGAGAATCAGGGAGAGGGCGAGGGATAGATAGAGAGAGGGAGAGAGAGAGAGAGAGGGATAGAGAGAGAGGGTTGGCAGCAATCTAGGCGCGCTCGCGCCATATCCGACATCCTACCCATCGCACCCATACATTCTCATTGCGCTGCTTTTTCATCTACCCACCGCCAACGCGTGTCACAGCAGACCTGGAACTCCAAAGAGGATCCCATACCGTGTCATGCGCACTGCCGACATTGGAGGAGGAGGTGGCGGATGAGCAGGAGGATGAGCAGGAGAACCAGGAGCAGGATGAGGAAGGAGGATGAGGACGAACTGCAGCAGCAGCAGGAGCTGGAGGGCAAGGAGCGGGAGGAGCAGGAGGACCAAGGGAAGGCGGAGAAAGGGCACAGATCCAAAAGAGTGGCCCGCGCTAGGGCGAGAGCGCCATGCTGGACCACGGGAGCAAAGCGCCGATCCGAAAATGAGTCTCGCCCTGCAGCGCGAGCACCACTGTCCGCAAACAGTGCTTGCACTTAGGGGTTCTTACTCGGCTTTAACCATCACGGGGCCAGGGGCCGCTTTTGCGGGCGGTGCCGCCCGTCGCCGTTCGTCGCCGCAGCTCGTCTCGGGACCAGGGGCGGCCGTCGCCGTCCGTGCCGACCGTCGCAGCTGTCGCCACCGCCGTCGCCGCACCGTCGCCGCCACCGTCGCCGCCGTCGCTGCCGCGCGCGCACCACATAACGTGCACCACATAGGTGGTAGTAGTAGTAGTAGTAGTAGTAGTAGTAGTAGTAGTAGTAGTAGTAGTAGTAGTAGTAGTAGTAGTAGTAGTAGTAGTAGTAGTCGTAGTAGTAGTAGTAGTAGTAGTAGTAGTAGTAGTAGTAGTAGTAGTAGTAGTAGTAGTAGTAGTAGTAGTAGTAGTAGTAGTAGTAGTAGTAGTAGTAGTAGTAGTAGTAGTAGTAGTAGTAGTAGTAGTAGTAGTAGTAGTCGTAGTCGTAGTCGTAGTCGTAGTCGTAGTCGTAGTAGTAGTAGTAGTAGTAGTAGTAGTAGTAGTAGTAGTAGTAGTAGTAGTAGTCGTAGTAGTCGTAGTCGTAGTAGTAGTAGTAGTAGTAGTAGTAGTAGTAGTAATAAGTAGTAGTAGTAGTAATAAGTAGTAGTAGTAGTAGTAGTAGTAGTAGTAGCAAAGGGGGGGGGGTAAGTAACGTGAGTATTAGCAGTAGCTAGTAGTAGTAGTAGTAATAGTAGTAGTAGTAGTAGTAGTAGTAGTAGTAGTAGTAGTAGTAGTAGTAGTAGTAGTAGTAGTAGAATAGTAGTAGTAATAGAATAGTAGTAGTAGTAGTAGAATAGTAGTAGTAGTAGTAG